TCTTTGGGTGAAAAATGGGTCGCAAGTCATCAACCACCCCCCAAAAAAATTCGATCTGTTTCCAAAATTTTAAAAGGGTTTTTTTCCTTTTAGGGAAATGTAAAGTTTTGAAGGACTGTAAAAAATTGGTAATAAAAAAAAAAAAAAAAAATCCCTTCCCGATTTTTCATTTTCCAAAAAAGAAAAATGAAATTAAACCCTGATTACTGCAATTCCACACATGTGATTTTATGTTTTAGAATTTCCCTGTCATTTGAAAATATTTTGGGGAACTGGGAGATGTTTAAAAACAAGAAAGGCGAACATATAAAAAAACCCTGTAAAAGGGTTTTGATAAACATAGGTTATCCAAAACTTTCCCAAAAGGGACATAATTGTGATCCGAGCTTACTTTAAATTTTTGGCAGCGGTTTTTCAACCTGGGGGGCCCCGACCCCTTTGGGGGTCGGGAAAAGGGCCATTTCCCAGGGGGGCCCCTAAGACCCTCGGGAAAAAACATAATTTCCGATGGTCCCCTTGGGAACCGAGACACCGCAGCAGTCTCCGGCGATGGAGTGGGCGTGATGATACGCTGGCTGTCACTGGCCACCACCTCCGGGATCGCTCAAGCAGCTCCGCCTCCTCGCCGCAGATAGTCCACCGGAACTGTAGCTCAGTGAGAGGCACACCCGGCGGCCAATCTCGACCGGCGAGGAGGTGGATCAAGGAAAGGAGGAGCCTAGCGGCAGCGCGCGTACAACAAAGAGACCGAGGCGCGGAGTGGACCGGAGGGAGTGAATAGAGAGGGCAGGAGGAGGGGAGACTGCTGAAGGTAAGTGAGAGAGCGAGGCCAGGCTGGAGCAGGGGGTCAGCAAGGATAAAGTATCCATTTGGGTCATGGAGGAATAGTGCCCCATCATTTGTGTCACTAATACCAACGATGGGGCACAATTCCTCCCCCAACTGACACCCAACCGATGGGGCACTATTCCTCCCCCCACTGACACCAACGATGGGGCACTATTCCCCCCCCACGCCCCCAAAGATGGGGCACTATTCCCCCCCCGACACCAAAGATGGGGCACTATTCCTCCCCCAATGACCCCCACGATGGGCACATTCCCCCCCCCCTGACACCAACGAGGGGCACTATTCCCCCCCACTGACACCAAAGATGGGGCACTATTTCCCCCCCCACGAACCACCAACGAGGGGGACTATTCCTCCCCCCCCTGACACCAACGATGGGGCACTATTTCCCCCCCACTGAAACCAACGATGGGACTTTTCCTCCCCCCCACTGACACCAACATGGGCACTATTCCCCCCCACTGACACCAAAGATGGGCACTATTTCCCCCCCCCCACCCCAATATGGGGCCTATTCTCCCCTCCACCACACGACATAATGATGGGGGCACAAAATTCCTCCCACGACACCAATGAGGGGCCCCATATTCCTCCCCCCACGACACCAAAAATGGGGACAAACTTTCCCCCCCCCCCTGACCCCAACGATGGGGCAAACAAAATTTCTCCCCTCCCCCACGGACATCAATGATGGGCAACTATTCCCCCCCCGACACCAATGGGGCACATTTCCCCCCCCCCACTGACACCCAAAATGGGACACTATTTCCCCCCCCCCTGACCCCAACGATGGGGCACTATTTCCCCCCCCCCTGACACCCAACGATGGGGCACTATTTTTCCCCCCCCCACTGACACCAAACGATGGGGCACTATTTTCCCCCCCCCCCGCACCAAAGATGGGGCCTTTCCTCCCCCCCCTGACACAACGATGGGGGACTATTCCCCCCCCCACTGAACCCAAAGATGGGGCCAAATTTCCCTCCCCACGACACCAACGTGGGGGACTATTCCCCCCCCACTGCCCCAACGTGGGGCACATTTCCCCCCCCCCCCGACCCCAATGTGGGGCAAATATTCTCCCCTCCACCACACTGACTCAATGATGGGGCCCATCCTCCCCTGACACCCCAAAGATGGGGCACTATTCCCCCCCCCTTTAACCCAAAATGGACACTATTTTTCCCCCCCCCCTGACCCCCAAAGAGGGGGACTATTTTTCCCCCCCCCCACACTACATCAATGATGGGGCCCCTTCCCCCCACTGACACCAAAATGGGGGGACTATTCCTCCCCCCACTGACACCAAAGAGGGACACTATTTCCCCCCCCCCCGACCCCAACGTGGGCACACCCCCCCCCACTGACACCAAAGTGGGGCCTATTTCCCCCCCCCACGACACCCAAAATGGGGCATTTCCTCCCCCCACTGACCCAACGATGGGGCACATTCCTCCCCCCATGACACCCAAGATGGGGCAATTCCTCCCCCCACTGACAACCAACGATGGGGGACATTCCCCCCCCCACTGACACCCAAAAAAATGGGGCATATTTCCCCCCCCCATGAACCAACGATGGGGCACTATTTCCCCCCCCCCGACCCCAATGATGGGGCATATCTCCCCTCCCCACATGACATCAATGATGGGGCACTATTCCTCCCACACTGACACAATGATGGGGCATCTATTCCTCCCCCCACTGACACTACCCAACGATGGGTACACAATTTTCCTTTCCCCCCTCGCCCCTGACGCCCAACGATGGTGCACTATCACCCCTCCACCACACTGACATCAATGATGGGGCACTATTCCTCCCACTGACACCAATGATGTGGCACTACTATTCTTCCCCCCACTGACACCAGGTGGATGGGGCACTCCTCCCCCCCAGGTGCCACCAGGTACGGAAATGGTGGCATGTCACTATCCGCAACTCCTATCCCCCACGCATGACACCCACATGATGGGCCTTTAATTCAGTGGCGACTGACAGCAATGATGGGCACAACACCTTCACAACTGACTCAAATTTCGGGGCAAAAAGACACAAAACAACTGTCACGCCTACACCGCCCGCTAATCTCACACTATTTTCCACTGTCGTTTAACATTCGGACCGCCACTACTCAATCTATGTCCGCCTCACTGACGCCTATGAAGTGGCAACCTATTTACACCTGGAAGTCGACACGGTAGATGTGGAGCCTCCTATTCCACCCACTGACAACAGTGATGGGGCAGCTGACACCCCCCACTGGCCATCAAGTGATTGAAGCATCTAACTCACTCACTAGCCACCCCCCACAGTGACTCACCATATCGAATGGGGGGTCAGCTAATTCCTCCCTCGCTACTGACACCAAACCGATGGTGCACAATTCCTCCCCCACCTCGCACACCATAATGATGGGGCACTATTCTCATCCCCCCACTCAGACGGAACACAATGATTAGGCACAACTCTCCCCCACTGACATTAGTGATGGCGGCACAAGGGATAGGCCAATTGACAAACCATGATGGTGCATTCGACCACCTCCCACATGACACCACAAGAAGTGGCACTGATTCCCTCCCACGACAAAACGAAGGGGTCGCACATATTATAATCGCTCTCCACAGACACTTACAAGAGTTGGATTGCACTGACAATCCCTCTACTGCACCAGTGATGGGCTGCACTACTCCCCCCACTGACAATATCTGATGGGGCACTACTTCTCCCCACCCAACTGACACCAATGAATGGGGCAGCTACTCATCCCACTGACACCAACGCTGGTGGGGGTCCACATATTTCCTCTCCGCTGGCCCCAACAGATCTCTGCACTACCCTCCCACTGACACCACCGATGGGCACTAATCTCCACTGACTCCAATGAATTGGGCGCCACCTACTTTCCTCCCACTGTACTACCATCGATGGGCACAATTCCTCCCACTTGTTATCGACCTAACGATGGTGTCAGCTAATTCCTTTCTCCACTGCCTTAACTCCTGAACCACCAACGATGGGGCAAAATATCCTCCCCCCCACTGACACCAACATGGTGGCACTATCCTCCGACTGACACCAACGATGTGGCACTATTCCCTCCAACTGGCTCCGGGAGTGGGTGGGCTATGCAGGGGGGCCGGTGGGGGCATGACGCACCACGATGGGCACTATTATTCCTCCCACAGACACCAACGATGGGGCAATATTCCTCCCACTGTACCACCAGTGAGTGGGGCACAATTCCTCCCCCTGACATCAGTGATGGGCACTATTCCACTCCCACTGATACCAACAATGGGGCACTTTCATCCACTGACATCAGTGATCGGGCACTACTCCTCACCTGACACCAATGACAAGGCACTACTCCTCCCACTTGCAAAATTAACAGTGTATGAAGTAGCAATGAAAAATAATTTTATGGTTGGGGGTCACCACAACATGCGGACCTGTGATTAAGGGGTCGCGAGGCAATAGAAAGGCAGAGACCACTGCCTATATGGATGCTCTCACCCTTATTTGACCTACTCCAAGTTAACCTATGTGCACTAACGAAGAGCATTAGAAAGAGCCATACAAGACTGTGAAAAGTCACATGCCTGAAGACAACAATTATCATGCAAATAACATACAAATAACAAACATTTTTATAGTAACTTTTCTAAACAACTGTTGAACCACAAAATGAAACACATACAGATACGAAAGAATCCATGTGGAAAAATTGATTTAAAATGCAAATTATGCATGGTTTGGGGTAATTTTTTATATAAGTTTATATAAATGTTGATTTTTTTAAATAAGGATTTAATACAAGGACACAAAAAAAGCAAGAAATGTTCCCATGGAATATGGTAGTGGCAAAGAACATTAGTAAAGTAATGCAAGGAAAGGTATAAAAACAGTAACATTTATTAGGACATATTAAATAAAATAAAAATATTTGATGTAGGGAGGCTTTCCCCGCCACTCCGGCGCCCACGCTGGAGACATAAAGGCCGCGCTCCCTGCGCGTGGCCGGGAGTGAGGGGGGCGTGCGTTGTTGCCCCCTCTGGGTCCCGCCATTGCCGGGGGCAACCCGAAGCATCATCCCTGTGCAGCTCATTTTAATAAAGCCCAGTGCGAGATCAGGCTCACTCTCTCTCCCTCCCTGTGTTGTCCGCCGCAGCTGTTCCGTTGGAGGTCCGGCGTGGGGACCGGGTCTGCGCAGCCATCCTCGCTGAGTGCTCTGCATGAGACTCTCACAAAAGTCAGCAGAACCACATCCCATGCACAGACCCCGCACCGCCAAGACCACTGGGCCGAGCCCCCTGCAAGCCTGCTGTGCCCCTACCTGCTGAAGCCCCGCTGTGCCCCTATCAGCTGATTACTGGGTCCCTGGGAAGCGCCCCTGTCTGCTGAATGTTGGGCCCTAGGGAAGCCGTCCTCTCTGCTGATCACTGGGGGCCCTGGAAACCGTCCTGTCTGCTGATTGTTGGGTCCCGGTGCACACAGACCACCCGTGTCATGAACTTTCCCTGTTGTGCGCACAGACCACCCTTGTCTGAACTGTCCCTGTTGTGCGCACAGACCACCCGTGTCCTGAACTGTCCCTGTTGTGCGCACAGACCACGTAACCGTGTCATGATGAACTGTCCCTATATGTGCACACAGACCACTCGTGTCATGATGAACTGTTCCCTATTGTGCACACAGACCACACACCCTGTCATGAACTGTCCCTATTTGTACGCTCAGACCACCCTTGTCATGAGCTGCTCCTATTGCACGCCCAGGACTACCCTTACTTGAACTGCACCAGGGCGTGCCCAGAGTTATAGCTACCTGGGATGCCCCTGAGTGCTTGAAGCATCGCTACCTGCTGAGTCCCCCCGTGAGCCTGATGTCCCTAGAAAAGCTGGGTGTGGAGCTGTGCTGAGGTTCAGCCCCCCTAGTCAAGGTCCCTGCTGAGCCCCTGTGAGCCTTCGTCCTAGTACGCTGGTGTTGAGGCCAGGACTCCACAGCCAAAGTCCCGTTGATTCCCCGTGAGTCTGATGTTGTCCCTAGTAAGCTGTGTGGGAGCTGTGTTTTGAGGCAGAAATCCACAGCCAGGCCCCGTTGAGTCCCCGTGAGCCGATGTTGTCCTCATTAAAAGCTGTGTGGGGTTGTTGCTGAGGTCAGAACCCCATTGCCAATGGTCCCGCTGAGTCCCCTTGAGCCCAAGCGGACACCGTGGGTGTCCCTACAAGCCGCATGTCGCAGAGTGCCATGAACTGTCCTGATTGAGTGTCTTTCATAGTTCAATAAAGCTTTGTGTGTTTCTCCATCTTCTTTGTGTGTTCTGTCCTGCCTACGCATTCCGTCACAGGGGGACTATGAATACAATCAATCCCGTATGTATGTTGTCTTTAAATTGGCAGCTGGATAGACTTGAATAACTCATGTGATGCTAATGGGGGTTAGAGCCCCAATAACTATAACGGGGGCCAAAATATCATCCCAATTGCTCCAGGCATAAAGGTCGGGGGAACAGAGGGGGATTTCATTAATCCCCTTCTGGGAATTGCAACCTTGATAGGAGTTATTAATATTCACCCCCATAGAGAATATCGGTCTAGAGGGGGGTAGTTATAACAAACGCACCACCTCCATTTAATCAAGTGAAAACCCATTTGCAGCAAAATTATACCCCAAAGGATGAGGGAAATTGGCAACACCCCCTATAAATAGAGGTTGGGGGAACACCAAATTCACAAAAAAGCATACCCACACAGGAGTATAATGTAGTGACATTCAACCGATTCACTCCTTTGGAGGATGACAGGAGACATATGGAACATAGGGTTTTAAGAAATCATCCATCCATCCTCTCTGGTAATTTTAAGACAAACAGAGGAACCGTTAGTGACGTTGGCAATCATAATCAGGGTATTCATTGAGCTACAACATTGGGACAAAAGAGATGTATAGATGCAAGAGAGGGACCAGGGGGGAGGCGCGTTTACACTCAAAAAGTAGAATAAATGGTAGATGGTAATCATTAACTTTGTGGTAAAACGTTGACTAAAGAGGAAGAGCATACCCTAAAATTTGCCCCACCTCGTAATTTAAATAAGTTCCAAACCTTTACTGATATCCAGAAATACAACACGTAAACTTAATATTTAAATGATAATCTAACTACTAATCCAGTTAGACATCATCTTGTGTCTCTTCATGGTTTGTTCATTCCTCAATTGGCAAATGCCTTCATTGTGCACCCCCCCCACCCCCCCCCCCCCCCCCCCCCCCCCCCCCCCCCCCCCCCGGTAATAATACCCCTTTGATATTTCAGTTTTTCGGACTTAGTCCTCAAAGATTCTTGAGTCAGCATGGATCAAGAATATCAAACCGAGTAAAAGAGCATCAGTCTGGGAATGGAAGAACTTTGTACAAGGAAAGATATAGTTATTCGTCCTGCCGATTAAAGTTGGCGCGATTGTGTTATACAGGATAAAACTGCGTTATTATAATGAGTTGGCCAGATTGTTATCGGATGAGGACACCTATATGGGTCTAAGGCAGCGGTTCTCAACCTGGGGGGTCGCGACCCCATTTGGGGGTCGAACGGACCATTCCCCAGGGTCCGCCTAAGGACCATCGGAAAAACATCATATTTCTCGATGGTCTTTAGGAACCGAGACGGGATGGATGCATACGCTGCTGTCACCTGCCGCCACACCTCCGGGTTTCATCGCTCCAGACAGCTCCGCCTCCTCGCCGCTGATTGGCCACCGGAACTGTAGCTCAGGAGAGGCACACTACAGGCGAACCCAATCACCGGCGAGGAGGTGGAGCTTGGAGAGGAGGAACAGCACCGAGCGGTTCACGCACGCGCGTACATCAAAGAAGACCGAGGGAGCTGCCGGAGCGAGTGAAGAGAGAGGCCAGAGTAGCGAGAAGGCACGGAAGACAGCTGTCAGGTAAGTGAGAGAGCGAGGCAGGCTGGAGCAGGGGTCAGCAAGGTAAGTATCATTGGTGTCAGTGGGAGGAATAGTGCCCCATCATTGTGTCACTAATACCTACGATGGGGCACTTATTCCTCCCCCCACTAATACCAACGATGGGGCACTATTCCTCCCCCCACTGACACCAACGATGGGGCACTATTCCGTCCTCCCCCCACTGACACCAACGATGGGGCACTATTCCCTCCCCCCACTGACACCAACGATGGGGGACACTATTCCTCCCCCCACTAATATACCAACGATGGGCACTATTCCTCCCCCCACTGACACCAACGATGGGGCACTATTCCTTCCCCCACTGACACCAACGATGGGCACTATTCCTCCCCCCACTGACACCAACGATGGGGCACTATTCCTCCCCCCACTGACACCAACGATGGGGCACTATTCTCCCCCCACTGACACCAACGATGTGGCACTATTTCCTCCCCCCACTGACACCAACGATGGGGCACTATTCCTCCCCCAACTGACACCAACGATGGGGCACTATTCCTCCCCCCACTGACACCAACGATGGGGGGCACTATTCCTCCCCCCACTGACACCAACGATGGGGGCACTATTTCCCCCCACTGACAGTCCCAACGATGGGGCACTATTCCTCCCCCCACTGACACCAAACGATGGGGCACTATTCCTCCCCCCACTGACACCACGATGGGCACTATTCCTCCCCCCACTGACACCAACGATGGGGCAATATTTCCCCCCCCCTGATACCCCAATGATGGGGCACTATTCTCCCCTCCACCACACTGACATCAATGATGGGGCACTATTCCTCCCCACTGACACCATGATGGGGCACTATTCCTCCCCCCACTGACACACCAACGATGGGGCACTATTCCTCCCCCCACTGACACCAACGATGGGGCACTATTCCTCCCCCCACTGACACCCAACGATGGGGCACTATTCCCCCCCCCCTGACCCCAATGATGGGGCACTATTCTCCCTCCACCACACTGACATCAATGATGGGGCACTATTCCTCCCACTGACACCAATGATGGGGCACTATTCCTCCCCCCCCACTGACACCAACGATGGGACACTATTTACCCCCCCCCCCTGACCCCAACGATGGGGCACTATTCTCCCTCCACCACACTGACATCAATGATGGGGCACTATTCCTCCACTGACACCAATGATGGGGCACTATTCCTCCCCCACTGACACCAGTGATGGGACACTATTTCCCCCCCCTGACCCCAACGATGGGGCACTATTCTCCCCTCCACCACACTGACATCATGATGGGGCACTATTCCTCCCACTGACACCAATGATGTGGCACTATTCCCCCACTGACACCAGTGATGGGGCACTACTTCCCCCCACTGACACCAGTGATGGGGCACTACTCCCCCCACTGACACCAGTGATGGGGCACTATTCCCCCACTGACACCAATGATGGGGCACTACTCCCCCCACTGACACCAATGATGGGGCACTACTCCCCCCACTGACACCAATGATGGGGCACTACTCCCCCCACTGACACCAATGATGGGGCACTAACTCCCCCCACTGACACCAATGATGGGGCACTATTCCCCCCACTGACACCAGTGATGGAGCACTACTCCTCCCACTGACACCAGTGATGGGGCACTACTCCCCCCACTGACACCAGTGATGGAGCACTACTCCCCCCACTGACACCAATGATGGGGCACTACTCCCCCCACTGACACCAATGATGGGGCACTACTCCTCCCAATGACACCAATGATGGGGCACTACTCCTCCCACTGACACCAATGATGGGGCACTACTCCTCCACTGACACCAATGATGGGGCACTATTCCTCCAACTGACACCAATGATGTGGCACTATTCTCCCACTGACACCAGTGATGGAGCACTACTCCTCCCACTGACACCAGTGATGGGGCACTACTCCCCCCACTGACACCAGTGATGGGAGCACTACTCCCCCCACTGACACCAATGATGGGGCACTACTCCCCCCACTGACACCAATGATGGGGCACTACTCCTCCCACTGACACCAACGATGGGGCACTATTCCTCCACTGACACCAACGATGGGGCACTATCCCTTTCCTCCCACTGACACAACGATGGGGCACTATTCCTCCCACTGACTCCAACGATGGGGCACTATTCCTCCCACTGACACCAACGATGGGGCACTATTCCTCCCACTGACACCAACGATGGGGCACTATTCCTCCCACTGATACCAACGATGGGGCACTATTTCCTCCCACTGATACCAACGATGGGGCACTATTCCTCCCACTGACACCAACGATGGGGCACTATTCCTCCCACTGACACCAGTGATGGGGCACTATTCCTCCCACTGACATCAGTGATGGGGCACTATTCCTCCCACTGATACCAACGATGGGGCACTATGCATCCCACTGACATCAGTGATGGGGCACTATTCCTCCCACTGACACCAGTGATGGGGCACTATTCATCCCACTGACACCAGTGATGGGGCACTATTCCTCCCACTGATACCAACGATGGGGCACTATTCCTCCCATGATACCAACAATGGGGCACTATTCATCCCACTGACATCAGTGATGGGGCACTACTCCTTCCACTGACACCAATGACATGGCACTACTCCTCCCACTGCAAAATTACAGTTATGAAGTAGCAATGAAAATAATTTTATGGTTGGGGGTCACCACAACATGAGGAACTGTATTAAGGGGTCGCGGCATTAGAAAGGTTTAGAACCACTGTTTTATGGGATCGAGATGGTAAAACCCCATTGGAGGGGCTCGGATTTGGTTAATGAGATTTCCAAAAAAGAGACGTTTTGGATTTATGAACTAAATTCATTGCAACCCATTTGGGTTAAATGTCGGTATAGATTTGAATTGTTTTCTCACAAATTTTTAATTTTTATGCTATTTTAAGTATATTTTTATATAGGTAACTGTTTAAAGATGATA